GGGACTCAGCTTTGCAATGTTCCTGAGATGGAAGAAGGAAGAGCGAACAAGAGAACTGACATGAGAATCCAGGGTGAGAGCTGGGTCAAAGGTCACGCCAAGATTCCTGACAGAAGGTTTGGTGTGGGAAGCAAGCTGACCAAGAGAGTCTCTGACTTTGGGAACCAGCTTGTCTGGGGCACAGATGAGGATCTCAGTCTAATGCTAGTCAGGAGCTTTGACACGTCTATAAACGAAGACGATGGACGGTGCAGGTTTAATAGAGCTATAAATAAAAAATAAGATTATTTTAAACCCAGTTTTACATCGATTAAATGAACTATTTTATCTATAAAATGTGTCAGATTCACAGGAAATGTAATGTATGTTTATCTCTTAAAATCGGGCTTTTAAAATAGATTACAACTTTAGATTTAGTCAGAAGTCACGATTCCATTATTGACCAATAAATGTGAAGGATTTCTAATTTTTTCACACACTAACACAAGGATGGTCCACCAGAGTGGTGCTGGTCAGAAACTACCCAAATTAAATGGTAGACTGGTTTAATCACCGGTTGATGACGAAGGGTAATTTTCGTAGGTTTTGTTCAAGTCAGCTGACAATTTAGAGTTCTGACATCTAGAATGATTATTAACGATGTCTCAAAAGTCCCTGGTGGATTGGTTTAGGGTTAGTCTGCTTTAAGGTTGGTTTATGCTTGACGCGTCCGCGAGGTCCGCACGGCTCCGCGCGGAAAAGTAGCGTCATTTTGCGTCATTTTAACAACCACGCCCCTCCACCGCGTCTCCGCACGGCCCAAGATTTCCGCAACGCACATCTCGGAAAATTTCTAACCACGCGGACGGACGGGGAAAAACATGGCGGACCGGCAAGAACTATTATGGCAGAGGTTCGTAAATACAGACATTTGTATGATTCAGCTCTCAAAGATCACCGTGATCAACATGTTGTTAATAATTCTTGGAGAGAAATAGCTCGCACTGTCGGAAAAGACGAGAACGCTGTTAAAAATGCTGAAATGCCATGTCTACTATGGTGTAGTGTTGGATGCATGCCGTAGAGCTCCATGCTGCCCCGTTCAGTTTGGGAGAATATTGGCTCACCGCTGAGACGAGCCGCACAAACCATAAACGCTGCGAGTTGTGAAGCGCGTTCCATCCGCGAGCCGCATCACTGCGCGGAAAGTGAATGCGTCAAGCATAAACCAAGCTTTATGGGAGGTAATAAGTTAAAGTTTTTGGAGGACATGGAGGTTACCCATCCTTTTAAGGTGTAATAAACAAAGCTAAAGGTTTTCCATGTCCGCACTAGTCAGATTTTTTTAGCCACTTCAGATTCACCCATTAACCAAATTTAATCATTAAACCATCTAACTCTAAGAACTGTAATTAACAGCTATGAATTCAGATTTTTGAGGGTCACGTTGACAAATAAATGTTGATTTAAGGACGTGAACAATGACAAAGACCGGTACAGCAACCCCATACTGATGCAACTTAGGGATTAGATCCCAAAACGTTAACTTATGACATTGCTGTCCAGATAAAACCTGATGCATTGGGTGAAAAGTCTGCATGTCATTTATTTCTTAAGATTCAACTCATATAATATCAGTAGAATGAAGTTTGTTACATTTGTTTTTATAGATCTGAATGAGAATAAAGGGCAGCTCCCTCATTTTACTCCTCTTCTTCTGCTACCATTCTGGCTCTTTTAATAATCAAGAAAAACAAGGCAAATTTATGTTTTAGTAATTATAATTAAAAAAAAATTTGCTGCTCAATGCTGAGTTCCTAAATGAGTGGCAAACACATCTGTTGCCTTCCAGGTTTTAAATTTCACTCCTAAAGTCGCTTTTGTGGCTGTGAGTCTGGTTTTCATAGTTTTAACACAAGACCTACTGGTGAGTGTTTTTAGTAATTCAAAAAAATAGTTCCTTTGTTCTGCCATTTTTTTCCCCATTGGATCTTGATGTATTAAATGTAGGGGTGGGACTCAATAAAAAAAATCTAATTAATCAGAAGCTTTGTAATTAATTAATCTTGATTAATCACATTTTAATCATTCAAGATATTTTGCGACCAAGCATTTTTTTATATTAAAAATTATTTTTGTGAAGCACAGATATTTATTGATTTATAGGGGCAAATATTTTGATGCTAGACTTTTCTGCCAACCAGCTGGGGAGTGCTCAGGCCCAAGGAATACTTTTTGATGCTTTTTTTCTAATTAATTAATCATAATTAATGCATTATATTCCCATCCCTAATTAAAACAACACTCATACTGAACTGCACCATATCAAGTGATAAATTGTATTGGTTGTAGTTGCTTGTGGATCTTTAATGAATCGGATTGCTGGGCTTTTACTGAGATCGTATCAGGCAGAAACCAGTTTGAATTCACCAGTCGATCCATCAGCTAACATTTTAATAGTCAATCAAGTCTAAAATCCTTCATCATTTATCATACAGTACAGGCCAAAAGTTTGGACACACCTTCTCATTCAATGTGTTTTCTTTATTTTCATGGCCATGAAACAAAGGGGCCAACAAGTGCTAAACACATCTGGGAACTCCTTCAAGACACTTAGAAAACCATTTCAGGTGATTATAACCAATAACAGGTGATGATTCCATATAAATATGAAATATCAATCTGATTGATCTTTGAATGTTTAATCAGAAGATTCTAGTGTTCTTTGCTTCTTTAGGGACCATAAACACACTTCGTATTAATTCAGACAGAGTCAGGTATACAGTTTACAAAATTAATTTAATTATTTTTCTTAAACTAATAATTTATACATGACAAGATATGAATAAGGAGATGTGATGTGGTGGATGTGAGGAGATGTGATGTGGTGGATGTGAGGAGATGTGATGTGGTGGATGTGAGGTGTTGTGACAGAAGCTAGATGTTGTAGCAACCGTTCTTTGTATCTGAGAGAAATTGTGAAATCTGGGTGTAAAAGAGTTTGTTGTTTGTTGTAAACTAGAGAGTTGTTTATTTCTAAACCTCATCAGACACCAGTATGCAGGCTTATGATACCCTTGGATGAGTTGCTCCCGGTGGTTTGGAGGGTTGCGGTCAGAGTGGTGAGGTCACCGGACGTCGAAACCACAATACTCAGAGATTAGTAGCTTCCTCTGAGTTCAGTTTCCCCGGCCAAGAGATGCAACCTAGGATCTGCAGGTTAGGCGTCCGAGGTGGATGTCTGAGAGTTGAAGTCGCTCTGAAAAGAGCTGTTGTGTCTGTAATCACTTGCAGCGCCACAGAAAGGTCTTGACTTAAGGTCAAAGGAGTTTGTTTCCAAAGAGGCTTCTTTCCCGATTTGGCCGAATCGGGGATCAGCTGGAAACTGAATAAATTGGGAAGTAAGTCTTGTTTTATTAAACTACTTTGTTATGATTTCTGGCCGAGTTTGGCCAATCAGATTTTTGTTCTTACAATATTCAGCAGGTTATTTTACATCTTGGACTTCCTGCACGCTGTCACTTCCCAGTCTGTCTGAGCGAGAGCTGCCATTGGTTCACAGCTTTTACTCCAAATTCTTTTAAATCTGCAAAAAATCCTAAATTTGTCATTTTTCAAAACCCTATCCAAGGTACAAAAGTTTATTAAGCTCTAGCTCTTGGAATCGGTGGAATAATCTTTGTTGGTTCTCAGTCGAATGACGGCGTCCGAAAGATATTTTCTGATCATAATGAAAATATTTTCACTTCTACATTTATGTAACTCTTTTCTATGATTCTTGTCTACTTTCTTTTCCTCCTATAGCTCTTTTTGTCCAGCTCCTTGGGTTTCATAGCAGGTTAATGGGCCTGTCTCTGGTTTATAACCTTTTTTATGTTGCTGCCCATTAAAGCACCCTGCTGCGGTGGGTCCGTTTATTTTTCAGGCTCACGTCTCTTCCTTTAAGAAAAAAAAGATTCCATTTTCTCCCTCATTGGGTCACTTAGATCACTCTTTTTACCAGAAACAAGATGCTGAACTACTTTAATCCCCTTGTCTTTAGCTGTTTTTACAGGACCACAGCGTTTGCAAAACGGGATTTGCCGCGGCTCCCTGGGGAGGATTTTGGCATTTATAGTAGCAAAGCTGAAGCTAGAATAAACTGCCATCAGGCACCTCTCAAACCAAGACGGGATAAAGGGAGGTCGCTGGGCGGCCCCCCCCCCCCCACATGTGACGTGCAGGGTCGCGCATTCAGCGTCAGTCGTAAGACACGTCAGACTGATGTAATGTCTTTTTCAGGACCTTTAGCTCGGATGCGACCTGCTTTTTGTCCCGCTTGACGCCCCGCTCAGCTGGTGTTTTCACCACTCTGTCGAACAGCTGGCTGTCTCTCACTGTCCCCGTAAAAAGGCGACTACTCTGTTCGTCCACTCGCACGGCCAAAACTCCATGGTCTCCGCGTCCGTCCAGTTTGCCATGTTGTAGGTGCTTGAAAGACACGAGTGAGAGGCCATGTTTATGTGTTTATATCCCTTCCAGCCGGCACTCGGCGCGCAGCATACGTCACTAACGCGACCACCCTCTTTTGCGGGGGGGCCTCCCACAGTCGCTCCAAAGGGATTAGCAGGGCTGACACGCGTTTAGCCGTCAGAGGCGAGGGGATCAAGGTTGGTTTATGCTTGACGCATCCGCGAGGTCCGCACGGCGAAATTGCGTCATTTTAACAGCCACGCCCCTCCACCGCCCCTCCGCACGGCCCAAAATTTCCACACTGCGCACCTAGGAAATTTTCTAACCACGCGGACGGTCGGACACAGAAAAACATGGCGGACCAGCAAGAACTAGTATGGCAGAGGTTCGTAAATACAGACATTTGTGATGAGTGTGTGGCCACTTAATTAGGCGGTGCAGGTCTGCATCACCAGAAGCACTTTGTTCAAATCGGGAGGAGCCCAAAGAGCTGAAGTGGGCACCTGCCAGGACTGGGAGTGAACCGCAGGGCGCTGACTGAGCATTACCTTCACCAAAGCTAAAATAGACACAAAACTAACCAAGAGGTTCAAGTGATCTTGTTTTTAGATTGTTCTAGGGGGCAAATACAATTGTGATTAAAAAGGCTTTACGGTGTTAATCCTCCAGTCTGTAGTTTCACTACCTCTACGGACATTTTAGTAAAGTAAGCTGACCGGTTTTATGTTCAGAGAGTTGGAGAAAAAAAAAGTCATTGATGAATGAAGTTAGGTTCATCTACGGAGCACGACCGTGGGAGCATGTTACTCCGCTGCTGGCTGCTCTGGACTGGCTACCAGTGAAAGGTCTCATTCTGCTTTCTGTGTGTTGGATAAAAACGTCTGCCAAATAAATAAACATAAACAAACATAAACATTAACTATTTTATATGTGGTGTCATTCTAACTCGTACCACTAGATGGCTGCAGTTTTACCGCCTTAAATCTGATGGAAAAGATCTCGGCCGCCATGAGTCATTTAATTAAATTCAGTCTCAAAATTGACAATTGCCTTTGACTTTTAGTGTCGTAGTGGGCTCCTCCCGATTTGAACAAAATGCTTCTGATGCAGACCTGCACCGCCTAATTAAGTGGCCACACATTCATCATAAAGCTGTTTCAAACGTATGTTTTAATTTTATGAAGTTGATGTTTTTAAAGCTTGTTTGCAGTCTGTTTGGGTGGGAAATGGTTGAAGAGAAGGACAGCTTTTACCAGATTGTGTCTTGTTGTACTCTGAGTCATTTAGATCAATTTAAATAGGCTGCAGACAGATGGGTCACATCGTCCTGATGAATGTGAGGAAGCAGCAAGGAAGTGAGTGTGATCATCACGCTGTTGGGAGGCACGCGGCGGCCTGGAATCACACGTGGTTCGATGACACTTGTCTGTTTGAATGTACTTGTTTGTTGTCCATATTTGACCCTGCAGACAAACTTTCCCATGAGGGTGTGGATTGTGCTCCGAGCAGAAAGGGAGGAGCGTAGAGCTGAGTGTAATGTGTTTGTTTTACTTAACAGTTAATAACATTCATGACTCTAGCCAGATGTGCAGTTTACCTTAAATTTCAAAGCAAATTGAACATCAAGAGGTTTGGCTCAATATGCAAAAGTAGCACAAAGCAGAATTTTCATATTTTAGTCCAATCACTATAAACGTTTCTGTACACAAGTTTCATCTCACGCAACATCTCCTGCAGGTCATCGACTCACTGGGCATCATGATCTACAAAGCTCTGGATTTTGGCCTCAAAGACAACGAAGAGCGGGAGCTAAGCCCCCCGCTGGAGCGTCTGATTGACATGATGACCAACATGGAGGAAACGAAGAGCGACCCTTGTCCTGATGAGGGCTACGAAGCCACAGAGGAAGAAGAGGAGGAGGAGGAAGAGGATCGCGAGGAAAACGGGGAGGAAGAAGAGCTAGCCTTCGTTACGTCTGCCAGCCCAATCAGCAGGATTCAGAGCTACAGAGACATCATTGCGGTAGGTCTTACTTTTGACAAATTGACTTTTTACAAGTTTAGTAGGAACGTAAGAAAAATGTTGATGCACTGAAATATCGCAATTTTTAATGTTATGATACTGAATTGATATTTAATGTTTGAATATAAAATCTCAACAAAAAAAAAGATACACTGCTTTTAAAGTGACAATGTGTTTTTCCTGGCTATAGGGGGCAGTACATACCTGAGTCATTCCAATCAATCAGTAGATTTGTGTTTGAGTACGACCTTACCAACGGATGGCCATTAGGGTCAAAAAACCCGGGAGCGCAACTTTCGAACGAGTACTTCGTCAGATTATCAACCTCCAGCAAAATGACAAACATCAGACTCCCTTTCATCACCGGCAACGAGCGAAGAGCTTCATGTATAAAACAACAACGTTCATGAATGGCGAACATCTTGTAACTGCTTGTTACAAATCTGTAAATGCATTTAGTCTTCACGGGATCCTGTCGAAGGAAACGTGCCATCGGATATGGCGTCGCTCAGACTCACACCCACTCCCATGTACTTGGACCCGATTTTCATGGTTAAATGTTACAAAGCCGCCAATATTTTCTAACACCTTAGATGGATATTTCCAGAGATTAATGATACAAACTACATTGTCTCATCAACCGGGCTGCATGGTGGCGCAGTGGTTAGCACTGTTGCCTCGCAGCACGAAGGTTTCAGGTTCGAAACTCTGCTGCAGCCTTTCTGCATGTTCTCCCCATGCATGCGTGAGTTTCCTCCGGGTACTCCGGTTTCCCCCACAGATCACAACATGCCCTATAGGTTATAAATTGTAAGTCGCTTTGGATAAAAGCGTCTGCCAAATAAATAAACATAAACGTAAACATAAATCTTGGAGAGAAATAGATTGCTGGAATGCCATGTTGTAAACAACAGTAATTTTTACTTCTACTACGGTTTAGTGTTGGATGCATGCCATAGAGCTCCATGCTGCCCCCTACAGTTTGGGAGAATATTGGCTCACCGCAGAGACAAGCCACACGAACAATAAACGCTGCAAGTTGTGAAGCGCGTTCCATCCGCGAGCCGCATCACCAAGCGGAAAGTGAATGTGTCAAGCATAAACCAAGCTTTATGCGGCAATATTACTACAAGGCTAATCGCATCAGAATGGAGTTTTATCACCTTTCCTCTTTGCTCCTTGCCGCATTTACGAGACCCACAAATTCGGATTTATCACTCTGTAATGACGCAGTGGTCTATCTTATAAAAGGGGCTTTTGTTTGAGAAAGAGTTGATGCCGCAGAGAAAACCTTAACTCTCTTCCTTTTATTCCAAACTCCTAAAAGTCTTTAGGCTAAGAATGCACTTTATGTGACCTGACTGCTAAATGAGTAATAGATTAAATAAGTTCTCAATAGAATTAATAACTCAAATCTTTTCCACGTGTTATTTTAGGATGTTTTTCCACCACAAGTTCCAGAATTATTCCCAAATAAACATTTTCCTTTGAGGTTTGAAGGAGGCACTCAGAAACCTGATGATTTAACAAACATTTTCAAACAGCTACCGGAGCTTTTCAAATACATTTATGTTGAGATAAAAAAACAACGTTTGCTTCTAGTTGTTTAGGTGTTTTATGGTCAGTTGACGTGAAAACAAACTGAAGAGGAAGTTCATGGCTTTTTGTCACACCTGCCAAATGTTTCTTGCCCTGCTTTGAAATTTCTGCTTTTTAACAAGCTGAGGATGTAGGAATGTGTGAAAGACTACGAACATGTGATTCTGAATTGCACCAAAAAAAGCAAAAAAGTTTAATTTCTACCGCTTCCAGCAGCAGTTCTTACTGAATGAGCAGCAGTGCCTTTATTAACCAGGCAAACCTGACAAATCTTTTCAGTTTTTTATCGTATAATCTCAGAAAAACATCAGACTCAACTGTCCAGGAACTGAAAGTCCCTTTAGTTTGTTTGAACAAGCAGCTCTTTGTCCTTCCTCTTGGCTAAAACATCTTCTCTCCAGCTCTATTTACTCACACTTGCAGAACTAAATCTCCGACTGCTTCACATTCTGCCGCTGCATCTTTTCTTTGTTTTTTCCCCTCTCGTCTGTCCACGTTTTGCCATCGTGTTTTTCTGGGCAGACGTGAATATTCAGCAGCCAGCGAAAGCAAACAAGCAACCCATTCAAACAGCTCGCCACAGCAGAGACCCAGGAAGGAAGGAGGAGCGGCGACTGGAAAAACAAAGGAAGGCCTGGAGTAAATTCCCTGAATGACAAGCAAATATCAACTAATGGTTACTTCGGGAAATAAAAAACCATCATAAAAACATAGAATGACTTTAATTGCTATTTATTTGAGTTTTTACCATTTCTCATCTCATGTGATGATGGGTTAGGGTGTTGCTCGATGCCGTCCTCTCACAAATGCACGCTCTGGGGATATCATGCCCTGAAGTCCATTAACAAACACCATCCTTGCCATTTATAAACACTCATTTGCAATAAAGCTGCGGGCCATCCCCAGAAAAACACGCTGATAGAATTACCCAAAACAGCAGCGCCAGCCGGATAATAGCTTCTAACAATTAGAGCCGAGAACAATAAAAGAAAACTCAAAACCATCCACTTCTTTAATTGATGCTGGTGGCTGCAATGGAAAACAAAGTCAATCCAAAACACAAAAGACTTTGACACAATGTGTAGTTTTTACCATTAATTTCTGGAAATATTCATCAAAATGTTGTTGAAAATGAATGAAATGATGCCCAGTTGTTGAAAAATATTGGCGGCTTCATAAAAATCAGGTCTAAAATACATGGGAGCAGGTAAGTTTCTGGGCGGCGCCATGTTAGATGCCATGTTTCTTTCTACAGGAGCCCATGAGGACAAAATGCATTTACTGATTTGTAACAAATGGTTACTAAACTTTCGTCATTCTTAAATGTTGCTTTACACATTTACATCTTTACTTGTTGCCAGTGATGAAAGGGGGTCTGATGTGTTTGTTATTTTGCTAAAGTTTGCTCTCCCCAGGGCTTTTTGAACCTAATGGGTATCCGTTGGTAAGGTCTTACTCCAATACAAAAATACTGCTTGCTTGCAACGATTTAGGTATATACTGCCCCCCATCGCCAGGAAAAATACACACTGTCACTTTAAGAACGACGTCACTGAGTCTACAGGACTTGGTTAGCATGTTGTACAAAAGGATCAAGCACAGCATATCATTGTCAAGCATGGTGGTGGAGGGCTGATGATATGGGCTGCAGCCACAGACTGTATAGAAAAGACAGAGGGAGCCTCTGTGATGTCACCTGTAGGTTTCTGAAGAGCCAAACTGAAGCCCAGTGGGTGGATCTTGGTTGTGTCACGTGTCTCGTCATTTCCGGAAAATACGAAAATGGGTAAAGAGGTAAAGCTGAGAGGGGATAGGGGGGTGGGGCATATGATTAACACCCATCAAACTCTGAGCCCATGTAGCTATGAGCTAACTGAGCTAACCTAAAGTTAATAGAGGTTGGCGGGCACTTTCAGCCGGAAACCGACAGTTAAGCGTCTCTGCTACCCTCTGCCATCTAGGCTGTAACTCTTTTAACGTGAGGCAGAGGCTGAGGCCTTCCCTGAAGCAAGCAGGAGGGCAAGACGCCCCCGCACAAAAAAGATCAAGATGTTTCACTGGCTCACGTCAAGTTCAGACCTCAAGTTGATAAAATGCTGATAAAATATTTCCTAAAAACCCTAAAGAAAAGGAAACAAACTGCACCTGTCATTCATGATTAATAAATAAAATAAGGAAAGACACACATTCACAACAGTTTACCAATCAAACACTGTTAGTCAGTTAAAATAAGTAGATCAGTGCCCAAGCCTCCCATTACCTGAACACCTGATATTCACCTCACAATGCCTTCCTCTCACTCACCACATTTCCCACTTATCTGCTCGTTATGCCGCGCTACTCCAATAACACGCAGAAAATTGGGGTGTAAAAGTCATCCAAAGAGGTTGTCCTAGTGCAAAGTGAGTTTTATCAGACACAGCAGAGCGTGTTTGTCTGCGGCTTAAATTAATACGCTGGTAACAAACGAGATAACGAGGGCATTTCCTATAACGAGTGTGTTTGGGAAAAGGGAAGAGGGAGGTGCGCTTTAATTTGTAAACAGGACACGGTGTCTTTCTATATCTGCTTTTAAACAAAAAATTACCTAAAGGACTCCAGCAGGGGAAGGGTATACGACAGGAAGAGGAATAGGAAGCAAATTGGGGGAAATGGCAAAAGGAATTCAAAGGAGGAGAATTTGAATTCAAGATGAAAACTGAGAAAAGGGTCAAAGAGGAAAAGTAAGATTCGAAAAGAATGAAGGAGTGACAAATAGAGAGAGAAAATGTGGGAAATAGTGTCAAGACAGCCTGGGGTCTTCAATGATGGATGGCAGCTAATCATCGGTTCATCCCATCCATCACCTGATGGCACCTAAAGACAAGAACCAACCAGACTGAAGCTCACACGTCAACACAGACAAATATTACACATCTATATAGAAATGGCAAAGAACTAACCAACAGTCGACTCTTTGTGGTTTATTTTCCTTAATGGTTTTCCTCATTTAGCTCCAAATCGGCTGATGAAAAGATGCACTCTCTCTCCCTGAGCACATGATGTTCAACGCGTTACTGAACGGCAGCTTGAGGGGGTCAAGTCTCGTGGGCTGATGAAACGGTAGATTTGAAGATCTGAGGTGGTCGAGTTCAAGAGTCACACAAGCAAAACCATCACATGATTCTGTTGCACAAATCTTTGTTTATTCTTAATAAAGGGTCCAGCTGAGCTGATCCTGGGTGTTGACTATACCTAAATAAGTTTATGTGACAAGTTAACATATTGTGTATCACCATCCATCCACCCAATTTCCATTGCTTATTCAAGAAGAATGCCCACATATCCCTCTTACCAGCTACTCCTGAGTCATTCCCAAACCAGATAAGATCTATTTATCTCTCCAACAAGTCTTGAGTGTG